ACACTTGTTCTTGGCGGTAGCCGTATTGATTTGTTCCTCCTTTTGTGTGTGATCTATCCAGTCAGGATAGAATAACGTTCATTTGTTGTGACTGGTAATTTTTCCTCATCTTCTATCAACTTCTTTATCTATTGTAATCTAGATTTAATTGATTGAACAATCATTGGTTGAATAGCCGGGTGGTAATATTTGTTTAGGTAACGATTTACATTTTAATTTATGATGAATTATAGAACCGCTATTTACCCGATTACTTGTTTTGATTTCGACGGGAAAGGGTGCGTGTCTAAAGTCCCCGGTCGGCTATTCTTCAACATCCAAACCGTAGTTTGGATTCTACAGTTCTAAACAATTATTACTTGGCCGAAATCCTTTGGTAATCGTTCGCGGATTTTCTGGAAATAATTGGTCGTTTCGCTTATAATGCCAATTAATCGTCGAAGGAAATCAAGCTCAAAGTTCGTCGATGTTAATGAAGAATCCCCTATTGTCAAGCAAGTGCCTTTTGACGTCCTTAAGGGTCATGGTTCAGACTCAAATAAGGTTGATTATCATGGTAGTGATTCTAGTCTTAATTCGATGTCAGATGACGTAAGAAATATTAGTTTAAAGGAGAAGCAAAGGCCTGAATTACCAGGAAAGAGCATGTTGCCTATAGTTCATGTTGTTGGCCCAGAACTACCAAAGGTTGGACTGAGTTATTTCGATGGAGAGCCAAGAGGATACTGGAAGTTTATAAGGCAATTTGAGACGTATGTAGCATCAAGAGTCACGGATGATAGCCAGCGCTTGCTCTATTTGATACACTATTGTAAGGGCAAGGCTAAAACAGCTATTGAAGGCTGCGTCATGATGGAGGCATCCTCTGGCTATAAAAGAGCAAGGGAGATTTTAAAACGTTTTTTCGGACAGTCTCACGTAATTGCTCGAGAAACACTAGAGGACTTATTCAGTGCTGTGAATTTTGAGTATATTGACGGGGACCAACTATCAAACTTGGCTATTAAGATGGAAAACTGTGCTATGGTCTTTGAACAGATGAACTATACTTCTGATCTAAATTCCTTAGTTACTTTGGAAAGAATAGTGAGACTCTTGCCTCAACCTATGCAAGCCCAGTGGGCGGACTGGGTGGATAAATTGACTGAAGATAACAGGGAACCGACCTTCGACGAGCTCACTCAGTTTATCGCATCGCGTGCGAGAGTGGCTTGTAGTAGATTTGGACGGTTAGCAAACCGTTCAAGAAAAGGGCACAACGTAAAGGCGAACTGTCACGTGCAATCAGAGCAAGGGAATAGTTCGACAACGAAAACTAAATGCAGTATGTGTTCCTACGACCATGCCATTGATAAATGTCCACAGTTCTTAGCGCTTACAGTGCAAGACCGATGGTCTCACGCTAAAAGCAAGGGCATCTGTTTCGTCTGTCTTAGACAAGGACATAGAGTTAAGGAATGTAAGCTGACAAAGCGTTGTAACGTTGAGGGTTGTGAAACGAAACACCATTCTTTGTTGCACAGCGAGAGTGAGAAACCTGGTATCTCGAATTGTTGCGGATATACTAAATCACTAATCAGTCAAGTGTGTTTAGGCATGATTCCCGTACGGTTGAAATCGCGAAAGGCCGAGATTGTGGGTTATGCTCTGTTGGACAACGGTTCTGATGTGACACTGATAAAATCAAACTGTTTGAGGTCTCTCGGGCTGAGCGAAGACGAAGCATCAGTGGTAGTTGAGACTGTGGGCGGTAATAGAACAATGAAGGCCTACTTAATGGTAGTCAAGCTAAGAGTATATTCCAGGAACAACTAGGAAAACAGTTAGGCAGCCATGTATATGATGTCCACCTTGAGGCAGCATGGAATGATATCTGAAAAGCTGTGGAAACAGTAGTGATATCTGCTAGTAAAGTAAACCAGAAGGTTAGGGAGTAACACTGGATCTCAGCAGCATCTATCGCACTGATAGATGCTCGGAAACTCATTCCACCTTGCTCTGAACATAGTAAAGAGCGGAGTCAGCTTAAGCACAAGCTGAAAAGAAGCCTACGCAATGATCGCGAACAGTGGTGGGTAGCAAAAGCAAGAGAGATGGAAAAGGCAGCGGCAATAGGTGTAAGATCCATTTTAAAGGTTTTGTGTGTTGGTGAAAATCCCTCCATGTATATACTTGTACTTTGTTCCTATTGATCCCCTAAGTTGTACATTGTTGTATTTTGATTACATTTGAGTTGTTAATACTTGTCTTTTTTATTATAGTTTTTGTTTTTATTACACATTCACTAAGTTTGTGTTTCTTCCTGATCTGCATCTGTGTTGTTTTACTTGACACTTGTTCTTGGCGGTAGCCGTATTGATTTGTTCCTCCTTTTGTGTGTGATCTATCCAGTCAGGATAGAATAACGTTCATTTGTTGTGACTGGTAATTTTTCCTCATCTTCTATCAACTTCTTTATCTATTGTAATCTAGATTTAATTGATTGAACAATCATTGGTTGAATAGCCGGGTGGTAATATTTGTTTAGGTAACGATTTACATTTTAATTTATGATGAATTATAGAACCGCTATTTACCCGATTACTTGTTTTGATTTCGACGGGAAAGGGTGCGTGTCTAAAGTCCCCGGTCGGCTATTCTTCAACATCCAAACCGTAGTTTGGATTCTACAGTTCTAAACAATTATTACTTGGCCGAAATCCTTTGGTAATCGTTCGCGGATTTTCTGGAAATAATTGGTCGTTTCGCTTATAATGCCAATTAATCGTCGAAGGAAATCAAGCTCAAAGTTCGTCGATGTTAATGAAGAATCCCCTATTGTCAAGCAAGTGCCTTTTGACGTCCTTAAGGGTCATGGTTCAGACTCAAATAAGGTTGATTATCATGGTAGTGATTCTAGTCTTAATTCGATGTCAGATGACGTAAGAAATATTAGTTTAAAGGAGAAGCAAAGGCCTGAATTACCAGGAAAGAGCATGTTGCCTATAGTTCATGTTGTTGGCCCAGAACTACCAAAGGTTGGACTGAGTTATTTCGATGGAGAGCCAAGAGGATACTGGAAGTTTATAAGGCAATTTGAGACGTATGTAGCATCAAGAGTCACGGATGATAGCCAGCGCTTGCTCTATTTGATACACTATTGTAAGGGCAAGGCTAAAACAGCTATTGAAGGTTGCGTCATGATGGAGGCATCCTCTGGCTATAAAAGAGCAAGGGAGATTTTAAAACGTTTTTTCGGACAGTCTCACGTAATTGCTCGAGAAACACTAGAGGACTTATTCAGTGCTGTGAATTTTGAGTATATTGACGGGGACCAACTATCAAACTTGGCTATTAAGATGGAAAACTGTGCTATGGTCTTGGAACAGATGAACTATACTTCTGATCTAAATTCCTTAGTTACTTTGGAAAGAATAGTGAGACTCTTGCCTCAACCTATGCAAGCCCAGTGGGCGGACTGGGTGGATAAATTGACTGAAGATAACAGGGAACCGACCTTCGACGAGCTCACTCAGTTTATCGCATCGCGTGCGAGAGTGGCTTGTAGTAGATTTGGACGGTTAGCAAACCGTTCAAGAAAAGGGCACAACGTAAAGGCGAACTGTCACGTGCAATCAGAGCAAGGGAATAGTTCGACAACGAAAACTAAATGCAGTATGTGTTCCTACGACCATGCCATTGATAAATGTCCACAGTTCTTAGCGCTTACAGTGCAAGACCGATGGTCTCACGCTAAAAGCAAGGGCATCTGTTTCGTCTGTCTTAGACAAGGACATAGAGTTAAGGAATGTAAGCTGACAAAGCGTTGTAACGTTGAGGGTTGTGAAACGAAACACCATTCTTTGTTGCACAGCGAGAGTGAGAAACCTGGTATTTCGAATTGTTGCGGATATACTAAATCACTAATCAGTCAAGTGTGTTTAGGCATGATTCCCGTACGGTTGAAATCGCGAAAGGCCGAGATTGTGGGTTATGCTCTGTTGGACAACGGTTCTGATGTGACACTGATAAAATCAAACTGTTTGAGGTCTCTCGGGCTGAGCGAAGACGAAGCATCAGTGGTAGTTGAGACTGTGGGCGGTAATAGAACAATGAAGGCCTACTTAATGGTAGTCAAGCTAAGAGTATATTCCAGGAACAACTAGGAAAACAGTTAGGCAGCCATGTATATGATGTCCACCTTGAGGCAGCATGGAATGATATCTGAAAAGCTGTGGAAACAGTAGTGATATCTGCTAGTAAAGTAAACCAGAAGGTTAGGGAGTAACACTGGATCTCAGCAGCATCTATCGCACTGATAGATGCTCGGAAACTCATTCCACCTTGCTCTGAACATAGTAAAGAGCGGAGTCAGCTTAAGCACAAGCTGAAAAGAAGCCTACGCAATGATCGCGAACAGTGGTGGGTAGCAAAAGCAAGAGAGATGGAAAAGGCAGCGGCAATAGGTGTAAGATCCATTTTAAAGGTTTTGTGTGTTGGTGAAAATCCCTCCATGTATATACTTGTACTTTGTTCCTATTGATCCCCTAAGTTGTACATTGTTGTATTTTGATTACATTTGAGTTGTTAATACTTGTCTTTTTTATTATAGTTTTTGTTTTTATTACACATTCACTAAGTTTGTGTTTCTTCCTGATCTGCATCTGTGTTGTTTTACTTGACACTTGTTCTTGGCGGTAGCCGTATTGATTTGTTCCTCCTTTTGTGTGTGATCTATCCAGTCAGGATAGAATAACGTTCATTTGTTGTGACTGGTAATTTTTCCTCATCTTCTATCAACTTCTTTATCTATTGTAATCTAGATTTAATTGATTGAACAATCATTGGTTGAATAGCCGGGTGGTAATATTTGTTTAGGTAACGATTTACATTTTAATTTATGATGAATTATAGAACCGCTATTTACCCGATTACTTGTTTTGATTTCGACGGGAAAGGGTGCGTGTCTAAAGTCCCCGGTCGGCTATTCTTCAACATCCAAACCGTAGTTTGGATTCTACAGTTCTAAACAATTATTACTTGGCCGAAATCCTTTGGTAATCGTTCGCGGATTTTCTGGAAATAATTGGTCGTTTCGCTTATAATGCCAATTAATCGTCGAAGGAAATCAAGCTCAAAGTTCGTCGATGTTAATGAAGAATCCCCTATTGTCAAGCAAGTGCCTTTTGACGTCCTTAAGGGTCATGGTTCAGACTCAAATAAGGTTGATTATCATGGTAGTGATTCTAGTCTTAATTCGATGTCAGATGACGTAAGAAATATTAGTTTAAAGGAGAAGCAAAGGCCTGAATTACCAGGAAAGAGCATGTTGCCTATAGTTCATGTTGTTGGCCCAGAACTACCAAAGGTTGGACTGAGTTATTTCGATGGAGAGCCAAGAGGATACTGGAAGTTTATAAGGCAATTTGAGACGTATGTAGCATCAAGAGTCACGGATGATAGCCAGCGCTTGCTCTATTTGATACACTATTGTAAGGGCAAGGCTAAAACAGCTATTGAAGGTTGCGTCATGATGGAGGCATCCTCTGGCTATAAAAGAGCAAGGGAGATTTTAAAACGTTTTTTCGGACAGTCTCACGTAATTGCTCGAGAAACACTAGAGGACTTATTCAGTGCTGTGAATTTTGAGTATATTGACGGGGACCAACTATCAAACTTGGCTATTAAGATGGAAAACTGTGCTATGGTCTTGGAACAGATGAACTATACTTCTGATCTAAATTCCTTAGTTACTTTGGAAAGAATAGTGAGACTCTTGCCTCAACCTATGCAAGCCCAGTGGGCGGACTGGGTGGATAAATTGACTGAAGATAACAGGGAACCGACCTTCGACGAGCTCACTCAGTTTATCGCATCGCGTGCGAGAGTGGCTTGTAGTAGATTTGGACGGTTAGCAAACCGTTCAAGAAAAGGGCACAACGTAAAGGCGAACTGTCACGTGCAATCAGAGCAAGGGAATAGTTCGACAACGAAAACTAAATGCAGTATGTGTTCCTACGACCATGCCATTGATAAATGTCCACAGTTCTTAGCGCTTACAGTGCAAGACCGATGGTCTCACGCTAAAAGCAAGGGCATCTGTTTCGTCTGTCTTAGACAAGGACATAGAGTTAAGGAATGTAAGCTGACAAAGCGTTGTAACGTTGAGGGTTGTGAAACGAAACACCATTCTTTGTTGCACAGCGAGAGTGAGAAACCTGGTATTTCGAATTGTTGCGGATATACTAAATCACTAATCAGTCAAGTGTGTTTAGGCATGATTCCCGTACGGTTGAAATCGCGAAAGGCCGAGATTGTGGGTTATGCTCTGTTGGACAACGGTTCTGATGTGACACTGATAAAATCAAACTGTTTGAGGTCTCTCGGGCTGAGCGAAGACGAAGCATCAGTGGTAGTTGAGACTGTGGGCGGTAATAGAACAATGAAGGCCTACTTAATGGTAGTCAAGCTAAGAGTATATTCCAGGAACAACTAGGAAAACAGTTAGGCAGCCATGTATATGATGTCCACCTTGAGGCAGCATGGAATGATATCTGAAAAGCTGTGGAAACAGTAGTGATATCTGCTAGTAAAGTAAACCAGAAGGTTAGGGAGTAACACTGGATCTCAGCAGCATCTATCGCACTGATAGATGCTCGGAAACTCATTCCACCTTGCTCTGAACATAGTAAAGAGCGGAGTCAGCTTAAGCACAAGCTGAAAAGAAGCCTACGCAATGATCGCGAACAGTGGTGGGTAGCAAAAGCAAGAGAGATGGAAAAGGCAGCGGCAATAGGTGTAAGATCCATTTTAAAGGTTTTGTGTGTTGGTGAAAATCCCTCCATGTATATACTTGTACTTTGTTCCTATTGATCCCCTAAGTTGTACATTGTTGTATTTTGATTACATTTGAATTGTTAATACTTGTCTTTTTTATTATAGTTTTTGTTTTTATTACACATTCACTAAGTTTGTGTTTCTTCCTGATCTGCATCTGCGTTGATTTACTTGACACTTGTTCTTGGCGGTAGCCGTATTGATTTGTTCCTCCTTTTGTGTGGGTACGGACTGGCGGGTAAGCCACGGATTTTCGCGCGCACGTTACATATTTTCGTGGATTTTTTGTGTTGTTATTTATCAGCTCTTAACAGGCTTTTTTACATGACACATCAATTTCTGTATTGCTAGTGCTTGTAACATAGATTTTATTCCAATTTATTGGCAGTTTGACGTATTTCTTGCTCACCACGTATGTAAATCTGAAGTTAGCTTAATATAGTTGTTTGTAACAATACAAACTCAAGCAAGTAAAGTTCACCGTTTTTCTAGTCAAAAAATACATCACAGATTGAGTTTTAATGAAAATGAACCGTAAAATCTTTTACATATGGTTCACCTCCTTGATTGCGGTGACGGTGAACATGGATGTCGGTAGTTGTTTATAAAATGTAAGTAGAAGCAATCAAGCGTTAACCTAATTGTGAATATTATATAACTTGTTTGTATTTAGCCATAAAAAGTTATATCCATTAGAGGTACCATTGTTTTGTACTGAAGTGACATAATTATGTAACGTATCTGAGAAAAGAAATATGTGAGTAACAATTGACGTTTATAGTGTTGTCCAGCGGCTTTCTGAACGTCTGCAGTAATAGTGTATAACACCACATCAAGTAGGAACAAAATCTTCATGAATAAAACGATCGGTGTTTCTTGTGAGAATGGTGACACAACCATGTTTTTTAGTTAATACTGATTTGTGAGGTGTCTGTTATAGGGTTCACAAATGAGTTATTATATACTCTTCACTCCGTTTCGGTAATACAGTTGTTGTGTTACTTAGGAAGTTATGAATGAATGTCACTACTTGTTAATAAAAGACTTATAGGCACAGTCTGTTACTTGCTATTTGAATAACTTATTGAATATGATACTGAGAACAAAGTTTAATTGTTTGTCTCAAAACGGATTTGTTGTTTTTCAGAATAGTATGAAGCTTATGGAATTTAGGATTACGGAAGATCGTGTGGAAAACCGGTTTACAAGTTTACGATAACTGTTTTATATTACCTACTGCTATGCTCATTCATCTAATGAATTATTTAAATATAAATATAACAACCATACGCAGTGTTTTATATTATAAATCCTGTAAGTTTGTATAATTATGGTCTGAATAAAGCCAAAACAAATATTGACGCAGAATCATGTGACTGCATTACATTTCGTGGTTTCTCATAAGTTGCATACAACTGAATATGCATTATAATTTAAGATTGAGGGAAGAAATAGTATGAAAGATAATAGAAAGCAAAGAATTGGAATGACCTAGGTTATCAATAATAACTATACATATGTATATGCTTAAACAGGTCAAAGGTCATTTGGTGTTAGACTTAAGGGAACATAAAGGATGGGTGGTGTAATAGTCGAGTGAAGCTCAGAAGCATATAAGATAAATTGTGTGATAATTCTAGATGTAATGAATAAATCAGTGAATTAAGAACTAATAAGATAAGTGAAGACAATCTGAAGAGTTAACATAATTTAGCAAAGAAGTGTGAGTGGAAGGGTGGTCTAAGGATTACGTAATCCATCTTATCAGGGAACTAGCTGCATGAAATTGTCTAGTTCCATACTAATACTAACTTGATAATGGACGTAATCTGACAACGGAAAATATGTAAGGCGGTTGTTTAGTCTGTAAGGTTTTACGTGGAAGTCGCATTATTGTTTTATTTGACTCGTTTATTCCTCACAATGAACAACGATATAGCGCTACGTTCTAACGACAGTTCGTAACTAATACAGTAGTACAAATTCTTAATTTTCTCGCACAATTATTCGTTAAAGCGATTGGTAAACCTCCCCATGAAAGTATGAAGAAGACGAAAATAAAAAATGAGAAAAAGTTTATTGATTTTTCATGACTACTAAATTAGAAAGATAAGTTTACAAGTTGTATAAATAGTGGTCTAAAATAAAGCCACAAAGAACTGTTAATCGTAAACCTGCTGTCTAGCTGTTTATAATTCTTAAGTAAAAATTGTAGACTTTTCTCTCCACCTGATTCGCGAAGCGTTCACCATATTTCTCAACAATTTGTTGTTTGCACATTCTTTGTAGACGTTGAAGTTGTATATATTCTTTACTCCGTCTCCGTAATGAAATTGCTGTGTTGTTTTGTAAGTTGTACCTATTGTCTAATTTCCATCTGCAGCAACACCTAAGAAGTTGATGAGCTATGCAGTTTATATTTTATAATTTAAATAGCTTACCTGTTAGATTTCGTCTTTTAATATATGCCAGGAGATGGCGGCACGGATATCGACACATATTAAACGTGCTACAATTGCATTCACAAATACTTACATCCACTTCGTAATGTTGTCCGCGGTCAAGCATAAACAACCACTCGCCGCTTTCATATTCTAAGTTAACGAAGCGCATTTTTTAAGTTCGTATAACACTTTGGATCTTGCGAATTGGGTCAACATGTTCAGCAAGTGTATAAGACGCTGTGGAGCATCATAATTGTAGGTTCGTCCACTGATTATTTGGTCTTCAATGCTTTTTCTAGAGAATGTCATTGAACTCCACTTAAAAGCCTTGTACATGCATTTGTGCAAGCTGTCGCTTTTGCGAACATATCTTTTTATCTGCCTATTGAATGACTCAACACGATTATTCGTGTTGTTACCCAAAGTTAATACATCGGCACGCTTTTCTTTTTGTGTCCATGCAAAGATAACAGTTCGACCTCGACCCCAATTGTCTGTCACCACTAACTGGAATAATGAATATCTACATAGTAGAACAAAACGAAAATCATGTTCACTTTTTATTATTAGTTTTAACTTCACCGTTTTGTCGCATCATCTGCAATACCTGCTTCCGAGTCCAACCTGAAATATATTTATATACACTTACCAGTGGAGAGTTCAGCTTTCATATTTTTGACATCAGCAGCGGTTACCTGCTTACCTGTTCTTTCCTTAATACTTTCGATAACTTCGTCCGTCGACTGACAGTGCAATATAACTAGTTTCAAGTTTTCTTTTTCTTCTGATGACAATCGTCTACTCAACGGATCAAAAACCATCCACGAACTAGTACACCGATGGTTGTGAGACATGTTGTAAGATTTTATAACGTATTGTTGACCCTCCAATCTTACGCGAAACATCGATTGGCAATTTAGAAATTTAGACCTTAAATGTAACACATTAGTTAGAGTCCTCACGGTTTTTTATTCACATTCAGACCTTCTGATTTACGTTTACGACCAAACGTACAACGAAACACTACGAACAAGTATTTATATCTCACATCCTTCAACAATCTACTTTCTGCGTGAACATAGTGTGTATGGGTCATCTGAGAAAACATAGATTTATCCTATCATACTTTATGGAAATCCTTTAGCGCATTATTTAATTCAATCCAGCTTCCGAATCTCTTGTTCAGCATAATACGTTGGAACGCGTCGCTTACGTTCACTGAAATTTCACTTGAGCATGAAGCACTAGAGACAACATACAGTAGTTATTAAAAAAAGGTTATTCCTTGAAAAAAATTAACTGAAGGAAGAACAACAAATATTTAGGACTTACCCTTCAGTTGACATTTCGTCTTAACTCACAAAAACTAGGCGCATCTATAACCTTCTACGTTATTTTATCTTTCTTACGTTGTTTTCTGGACCTTATCAACAAATTATATATAGCTGTTGACTTTCACTACAGCACTTAGGACCACAGATCAAGTTTCGAAGGAACAACAGAGCCAACGTGTGCACTACAAAACAGAAAATACTCCGTTAATGCTCTTAGCAGTTATTTAGTGTTTATTATGCATCAAAAGATGACTTATATATGGAAACATTTAATACTCATAGGACCCAACACACACACGGCAATTGAAATACGGAATGCCCGCTTCCAGTCAGCGCGTTCAAGGTCGTTGAAACGAAACGGCGGACAGATTTGAAAGGGATTACCGTTTATACCGGCACGGACTAGCGGGTAAGCCACGGATTTTCGCGCACACGTTACATATTGTCGTGGATTCTTTGTGTCGTTATTTATCAGCTATTAACAGGCTTTTTTGCATGACACATCAATTTCTGTATTGCTAGTGCTTGTAACATAGATTTTATTCCAATTTATTGGCAGTTTGACGTATTTCTTGCTCACCACGTAAGTAAATCTGAAGTTAGCTTAATATAGTTGTTTGTAACAATACAAACTCAAGCAAGTAAAGTTCACCGTGTTTCTAGTCAAAAAATACACCACAGATTGAGTTTTAATGAAAATGAACCGTAAAATCTTTTACATATGGTTCACCTCCTTGATTGCGGTGACGGTGAACATGGATGTCGGTAGTTGTTTATAAAATGTAAGTAGAAGCAATCAAGCGTTAACCTAATTGTGAATATTATATAACTTGTTTGTATTTAGCCATAAAAAGTTATATCCATTAGAGGTACCATTGTTTTGTACTGAAGTGACATAATTATGTAACGTATCTGAGAAAAGAAATATGTGAGTAACAATTGACGTTTATAGTGTTGTCCAGCGGCTTTCTGAACGTCTGCAGTAATAGTGTATAACACCACATCAAGTAGGAACAAAATCTTCATGAATAAAACGATCGGTGTTTCTTGTGAGAATGGTGACACAACCATGTTTTTTAGTTAATACTGATTTGTGAGGTGTCTGTTATAGGGTTCACAAATGAGTTATTATATACTCTTCACTCCGTTTCGGTAATACAGTTGTTGTGTTACTTAGGAAGTTATGAATGAATGTCACTACTTGTTAATAAAAGACTTATAGGCACAGTCTGTTACTTGCTATTTGAATAACTTATTGAATATGATACTGAGAACAAAGTTTAATTGTTTGTCTCAAAACGGATTTGTTGTTTTTCAGAATAGTATGAAGCTTATGGAATTTAGGATTACGGAAGATCGTGTGGAAAACCGGTTTACAAGTTTACGATAACTGTTTTATATTACCTACTGCTATGCTCATTCATCTAATGAATTATTTAAATATAAATATAACAACCATACGCAGTGTTTTATATTATAAATCCTGTAAGTTTGTATAATTATGGTCTGAATAAAGCCAAAACAAATATTGACGCAGAATCATGTGACTGCATTACATTTCGTGGTTTCTCATAAGTTGCATACAACTGAATATGCATTATAATTTAAGATTGAGGGAAGAAATAGTATGAAAGATAATAGAAAGCAAAGAATTGGAATGACCTAGGTTATCAATAATAACTATACATATGTATATGCTTAAACAGGTCAAAGGTCATTTGGTGTTAGACTTAAGGGAACATAAAGGATGGGTGGTGTAATAGTCGAGTGAAGCTCAGAAGCATATAAGATAAATTGTGTGATAATTCTAGATGTAATGAATAAATCAGTGAATTAAGAACTAATAAGATAAGTGAAGACAATCTGAAGAGTTAACATAATTTAGCAAAGAAGTGTGAGTGGAAGGGTGGTCTAAGGATTACGTAATCCATCTTATCAGGGAACTAGCTGCATGAAATTGTCTAGTTCCATACTAATACTAACTTGATAATGGACGTAATCTGACAACGGAAAATATGTAAGGCGGTTGTTTAGTCTGTAAGGTTTTACGTGGAAGTCGCATTATTGTTTTATTTGACTCGTTTATTCCTCACAATGAACAACGATATAGCGCTACGTTCTAACGACAGTTCGTAACTAATACAGTAGTACAAATTCTTAATTTTCTCGCACAATTATTCGTTAAAGCGATTGGTAAACCTCCCCATGAAAGTATGAAGAAGACGAAAATAAAAAATGAGAAAAAGTTTATTGATTTTTCATGACTACTAAATTAGAAAGATAAGTTTACAAGTTGTATAAATAGTGGTCTAAAATAAAGCCACAAAGAACTGTTAATCGTAAACCTGCTGTCTAGCTGTTTATAATTCTTAAGTAAAAATTGTAGACTTTTCTCTCCACCTGATTCGCGAAGCGTTCACCATATTTCTCAACAATTTGTTGTTTGCACATTCTTTGTAGACGTTGAAGTTGTATATATTCTTTACTCCGTCTCCGTAATGAAATTGCTGT